AGCAATGCTCGACTGAGTCGCGAAGTCTCTCTTAAGTTAGATATTTAGATATTCAGATGTTATAGAAATGGGGAAAAGGGAAGGTGGGGGCGGCAAGGGAAGATGAGAGTGAGGCGCTTCCTGATATTCGCCACCGTGAAAGAAAAGAGGAAGATATCTGAATATCTGAACATCTAGATATTATATAAATTGCAGATGTTCAGAAATCAGACCGGTCTCGTTTTACAACTGGAAAAACGATTATTTTTGTGAAAAGTTTTTGAAAAACTCGAAAACTATTTGCTTATTTTTTTTCAATTAAATGTCTTCCATCTATGACAGAGGCTACAGAAAAGTGAAAATTCGAGCTTTGTGAGGTTTACTCTGACAAGAAAGCCATGGTTGATAAGCGCAAAAAATTTCAGCGTAACAGTGTTACGAAAGTAAAATGATTATTCTGGGCTTACAGAATTGAGTTGAGAATAATCTTTTTTTACGATCAAATAGCCCATTGATTAAGCTGCAAAATGGCTCAGTATGAAAAAATTTTTATTATTCATTTTGAGAAACCTCAACTATCTGAAAAAAAACGATCCTTTTTTCGTAACAGCGTTACGCTCTCTGTTTTGACTAAGTTTGAAACTACTATTAATATTACGAAATTTAGAAGAACGAATATCACAAAATTATATTACAAGAATACAACGAAATTACAAGTTGTCAAAAAAATTTTGCACATCTCAAATCTTCATGAGCGGTTGTATAACCGCTCTGCTCCTTAGCAGCAGTATGTTCGGCTCCCCCCTTGTGTCTATTTCACCGAAGAAGAATGACGTCAACGGTTATTCTGAAAAAAAACCATATTATACGTTTGCTAGGGGCGAAGTCTTTCTTCTTGCAGAGGAAGACACCAGCCAACGAAATAAAGAAGGAAAAAATTGCATAAATAATGATTGAGAAATCTATTTCATGGATACGAGACAACATTTTTTTTCATTTTGTCCGAATCCGTCCAAGTACGTCTTTGCTGCACGACAAGGCAAGGGACTGTCAAGTAGGGCTGTACCCAAGGGACTTTATGTCTTTCTGAAGTTCTTCCTCATTTCTATTACGTACGGTATCTATGATGTCGTTCCGCCTCTGTTTCACATAATAAATCTAAAATATACAGTTCGAAGAGTAGATTATTACAGGTTCAGAAACGATTTGTCTGACAGTGAGTAATTCAAAAATGTTTAATCATGCTCATTCGGTGTCAGCTGATAAAACTGGACCTGATGTTAGTTGTCGTTTTATATTCTGCGTGATGCTGTATTGGATGGTGTTATATTGATATTTTGTTCACTAGTTATAAGTAGTGGAATTGGCCTCACAAGAAGAGTTGATGTTTGGAACGGGCGCCGAATTATGAAGAGGAAAGAAACATAACGTGGTGATTTTTTAGTCAGAACAGCTTGTTCCCTAGCGATTCCATAGACTCCACCATACACCAAAGGGCACCCGGGGTTCCATGGGATTTCGGACTCTCAGAATCCGCTTTTCGCCTTAATCGCTGTCCTCAAGTATAGTAAAAACAGCTATTTTTTCCATAATGCACACAAGAACAATTTATTGCTTAAGCAGTGAGCCAAAATCCGAAAATCCATGAAAAACCTAGCAAACAGAAATGGGTCAATCAGTAATTATTGAGCCATAAGTTTTACGTCGGACTTGAAACCTGTGCACCAAACTGATAGCTTATATTCATAACTAAAAAACACCAAGTGAGAAAAGTCCAAGTATTTTATCTTGTAAAAACATGATACTTGAATAAAAGTAAAACCACTGATTAAATGACGCATTCGCTTTTTTCCTCTATGCAAACCGTGTATTTACTTTATGATCATATTATGTGTTCTCACAGTGACCCGTAGAAATGACTATTTTGAGTCTCAGACAGGAAAAACAGAACAACAAAAAGTTCTCTTTCGCTCCTTCAGATTTATCTTCCCCAGGTCGCCAAATAAACGCATAATTATACAAATCGACCTTTCGCCCCACTTAGACTTTTTCAATCACTTTCAGCTCTGTCTCACTCATTCTGCGAGTGAGTGAGGAAAATAAATTTTATTTTATGTTGGAAAAAGCCAAGTGAAAAAACTCCAAATATTTTATCTTTTAAAAGCATAATACTTGAATAAAAGTAAAACCACTGATTAAATGACGCATTCGCCTTTTTCCTCCATATAAACCGTGTATTTACTTATGATCATATTATATGTTTTCACAGTGACCCGTAGAAATGATTATATTGAATCTCATACAGGAAGAACAGAACAACAAAAAGTTCTCTTTCGCTCCTTCATTTTATCTTCCCAGGTGTCACTAAAATCGCGTTAAACTTAGTTTATTTTGTCCAAAATCGCTAAAAACAAAAGATAACTATTGATTGAATTTTGTTTAGATAATACGACTAGTGAACTATGGTTATTAGTATATCATTACAAAACAATGTTGGTAAAGTAACAAGTGCAATGTTACCAGATAGTTTTAAAATGGATGAATTTACAAAAATGTTATCAGAAAAATTGGGTGATATTGAAGGACATCGCTTTGTTATGGATGGTAAACAATTACGTTTGAATGATAAACAAACATTTAATCAACAAAAAGAACAAATAACAAATGGAAAGGTTATTTTTGTTCTCGATCGTCTACCTGGTGGTGGTTACCTCGAAATGTCACTGCTAATTGACATTGTTCTAGTTGAACTTGAAAACGAATTAGGAAAAGTCAAGAAGCAAGAGCATCAGTGTGCCGTTTGTATGGACAGTAAACAATGTATGAAACTATGCTGCTCAAAAATTTGTCAAGAATGTTTCATTCGGTACTTCAAAACAAGTAATCTAATTCTCAAATGTATGGTATGTCAAACAAGAATCACCTACGAGAACTTTTTCGTCTCAAAAGAATTCATCAAAACCCTAATCTCATTAGATGAAATAAAAACTTTAATGAAAAATATTGACTGTCAAATTTGTCACTGTGGAACATTAGTGGTAAATGAAAAATTATATCCAAAACAAACATGTTTAAGATGTAAACGCTGTTTTTGTTTTTTTTGTAACAAAAACTGGAATGATGAACAAATGCTCAATGTATCAAAATTTACATGTCATTCAAATTGTGACTATGAAACACGAATAACATATGAACTTGTACTATTACAATACAATAATGCAGTTCAAGTGCCTAGTCGACGATGTTGTCCACAATGTTTAAATTTGGGTGCTTATGATGAAAAGTGTAAATATCACTGTTGCACAATCTGTAAACACGTATTCTGTTTCATCTGTTTGGAACCGGAAGAGGAATGTAAAAGAAAATATAATTCAAGCTATCGCCTTAAATGTACTGATATGAAAGAACAAGACTATTCGATATTTCCAAAAATTAATGACTAGCTAGCTGTTAAATTGTTCTTTTGTTTAACCTTGAATTATTATTGTTGTAGTAGTCTATTTCTTTCTAATGAACAAAATGTCACATTTGAAAACCAACAAAAATATGCACTCATCATTATTTCAAGATGAAGGAATTCATATAAAAAAATTATAAATACTCTTATTTCCTACGCAGTTACATTGTATTCTAGGCATTATTATACTTCTTTTTCATTAATATGCTCATAAATATCGGGAAGGGCAATAAGGTGAAGTGTTGGTTTTGTCATTTATTGCGTCTCAATTCTTACAGAATCGCTTTAACTTACATGTGCGCAACTCTATTGCAGTCTGTCTTTCTTTCAAGGGAAAGATATTTTACAATTTTCCTCTTGTAGTGGCCTCTCTTGTGCTTACCGCATGATTTAGAAAAATACTCTCAAGATATGTCATATCATATAGTAACAAGAAATTGTTGTATACACACAGATCAGAGAGGCCATCTCTCTCTTTTTTTTGCGACTCATTTTCCTCTCCTGTGTTTTTTCTCTTTCGTTCGTTGCTAACACAAGAAGAACAAAATCCTGCACTACTTTTGTGGCAAAGAAAATAAAATGTTTTATTTGTGTAAAGCAGTGAACAGAAGTCTAACTCTTTTTGTTTTTGAATTTTTTTGTGAAACATAATAGTTAAAAGAATTCCAGATAAAAATTTGAGTAGCATAAAACATTCTCCTACCCGATGACGCATACACAAAGATTTCCTTAAATGAAAATCCAAATCTCTATTTTCAGAGCACACCATCCATCAAAAACTTTTTGCAACCTACTTAGTCGAATAAAGCAAACATTTCTGAATAAAATGAGACGTCTGCGACCTCTCTACGGCATTTTTCATAAAATGGCATTCAATTTGTAGAGAGCCTGGTTTAGTTCAGTGTACTTAGTTAAGAGATATTCCAGATAGTGGTTTGAGTAACTGAAACATTTTCTTATCGAATGACACGTATACAAAGATTTCTTTCAAGGCTCGAAAGACAATTGTTGTTTTACTGTTGATTCTGCTCGTAGAATAGTAGAGTCGGAGTGGATTATATTCTTACACACGTATCCTCTTTAAATAAGCACACTTAGCTAAATTAATTTTGACAGGCTACGGCTGTCCACAAATTGAACCCCATTTGATGGAAATATTGCGTAGAGAGACCGCAGACGTCTATGTTGTTCAGAAATGTTTACTCTATTCTATTAAGCTTGTTGCATGTAGTTTTCAATGCACACTATGGCACCTGAATATAGGAATTTCCTGTCTGAAAACCACATCATAATATTTTACTCAGAAAGTTTCATTTCACTGTTGTTTAACAGATTTGAACCATTTTGCCAGCTGGTATGGCAAGAGAGAAAATACCATATTTAAAAAGGTTTTCTCGTTTAATCATCTTTAATGAGAATAAACCCATATTTTATTACTTTTTTGCTTGCGTCAATATACACTTGAAATGAACTTATGATAAAATTCGATATTAGTGTCAAGAGAAGAGAACTAGAAAAGAAGAAAAAGTAATAATCTTTATTTATTGGTACTGGAAGAAAAAAGGCTGGTACACGAACGCCAAATTACGAATCATTAATTTTTGGAAAGATATTGTAGCCAGCTTCTTTGAGCCCTTGACACGAACCATAGGGTTTTGCAAACTTTTTATTGCAGTCTTCTTTCGATTCTAAACAAATAAAACAGAAATCATATCCGCAGCTAGTGCATTTGTGATATTTGCACACTCCTCCATAGGCGCCCGTATTGAAACATTTTGGACAACATCGACGATTAGGTATTTGCATTGGTGGATTACTATCCTTCATCGGCACTAATTCATACGTAATTTTTGCTTCATAATCACAGTTATTTTTGCATGTATAGAGCATATTTTTCATTTTACTTTCATCCCAGTCTTTGTTACAAAAAAAACACAAGCGCCTTTTACACTTTTGACATTCTTGTTGAGAATACATTTTATCATTTATCATTAACGCACCACATCGACAGATTTGACAGTCGATATTTTGAATGAGCTGTTGTTTACCTTCGAAATCGGACATTAAATTTTGAAACTTTTGAGTACGAAAATAGTCTTGACTATTCAAAGTCTTTGTGCATGTTGGATTCATACACTTTAATTTAAAATGCTTCGATTTAAAATATTTTGGAAAACAATCTTCACATACTTGAGTACAGCATAATGTTAAACACTGAGTATTATCCCGACATGCCGTGCATATTCCATCAGTTTTAAACATACTCAATAATTCGAATGGTAATGCACTCATTATTAAATCAATTGATTTTGAAATGTATGGTTCATTAACTACGGTATCTGTGCCACCAGGTAGACGATCAAGAACAAAAATAACTTTTCCATTTGTTATTTGTTCTTTTTGTTGATTAAATGTTTGTTCATCATTCAAACGTAATTGTTTACCATCCATAACAAAGCGATGTCCTTCAATATCACCCAATTTTTCTGATAACATTTTTGTAAATTCATCCAGTGTAAAACTATCTGGTAACATTGCACTTGTTACTTTACCAACATTGTTTTGTAATGATATACTAATAACCATTGTACGCTTTTTATCTAAAAATGCATTGAGAATCTGACTTCTCTTTATATTGACTATAGAAACTAATCAACGTCTTCTTGTGAACGTAGACTATTATGTCTAGAAATGCAGTTCGAAATAACTTTGTTTACGTTTTGAGACGCAAATGTTGATCAAAAACAAAATGTTCAAGCCGACATCGTGTTAGATAGTGCAAAAAATGGTAATTTTTTCGTCTGATTGTCAAAACCTAATTTGGCCTTTTCTAGAAGCCATAGTGTGAGAGATGTTTCAGGTAATTAGTTTTAGAGCTCTATCGAGTGTGATGTTACTTTTGTATGCCTCTAAACTGTGTGTTCTGTGTTCTCGGAAAGTATCTTGAAAAATTCATTAGTTTGTTTTCTTTGGAGAAGAGAGTTTCTTTATTGTGTATCCTTCTGTTCTCCTCAAGGTTTTCTTTCTTTTTTGCATCGTTTATATGTTTTTTCCTTTTCTCTATTTACCTTCTTTACTTTAATGTATATGATACTCATGTTTGACGTATGAGTCAGTTGGTAAGAGTAAGATGTTTTGAAAAAACAATATTGTTAAAAATTAGTATAACGCATTTTTTCTTATTGTTGTAAAGATCTTTTTTCTGATTGGCTCAGCTTTGCTTGTACTATTGAGTTATCAACCAACCGGTAGATTTGCACTTTTCAAAAAAGCGCTCTGATACAGTGTATTCAGAGCTCGTAGAAAATCCTGCAGCACAGCTAAAGTATTACAAATGAAGTTTCTACCTGACTGCTATTCCAAAGAGGTGCAAAATGATTTCTCGAATCTGTCTCTAAAATTTTTAAATGGATTTTTCTTATGAAGACATCTCTCCCGGTCTTAGTTTTTCAACGATGAAAAGGGCAGGTCAATAACAAAGATGCACGTAATGCAAACTTAAAGTGAAATTTATTTTTGAATATATTATACATATTCTGAATCGCCAGACAACGCTGATTACGAATATCACCTTTTTAGCCCAGAAACTCTTTCTTCATTGAGAAAAATCGCTAATACTGAAAATACACGAAAAGTCCCAAAATTTTTCGTGTTGAGTAAAAGCTCTGAATGTTTTTGCAAAGAAGATCTACGAATTTTTAATTATCATTTTCAAATTCCATATTGAAAACGGATTTTAGACGACTTATGCGCGAGTCCATGTACCCTAATACAGATCTTTCGTAGGACCCGGAACATGTTACACTCAAAATCCGAGAGTCTTTGCTCAAAAACCTGTCTAGTTTTGTGTGGAAACCAAGAGCTTTGATTCGACCACCATCAAATTGGCCAGTGCTTCAGCTTCAAAAGTACGGTCCGTTTTTTAAAAAATTATTTTTCCTTGCTGAGAAAAGTCATTTTTTCTAAATCAGAGGCGAAAAACTCGAAATTCTGCCCGTATTCAATTTTCTCAATCAGAACTCAACTTCTGAGCAATACAAATATCATATTCAGAATTAGGATTAAAAACTGACGAGGGAACCTCACGAAGTGATTAAACGCTGTATGCTCGGAATCTAGTGGGTTATAGGTTATCGACCATGCTGATTACGAATACGACCATGCGGCTTCCGCATAGCCCTTCGAAGACCTGGTTTTCTAGAAAACGAGTTTTTCCGAAAACCCCCCCCAAAA